CCAAACTAATTAGGGGTATGGAGGACCAGAGCTACGAGACAAGGCTACTAAATTTAAACATGTTCACATTGGAGGTGAGGAGATTAAGGGGGGATATGATCTCCATGTACAAAATGTTCAATGGTGGTAGCAACATTAGCGATAAACTGTTTAAAATTAACTCCATTACAAAAACTAGAGGCCACCACCTAAAATTGGTGGAAAAAAAATTCCAGCACAAGGGGCGAAGGGGGTTCTTCACAGTAAGATCAGTTAGGGTCTGGAACTCACTGCCACAGACAGTGATTTCAGCAAATAATGTGGAATTGTTCAAGAAACTTTTGGACGATTTCTTAAGGAACCGTAATATACAGGGGTACAGGTACTCCTAGAATGAGATCCTAATAGGTTGGACTTGATGGACTAATGTCTTTATTCAACCTCAAATACTATGTAACTATGTAACATGACTAGCAGCTCCTCTTCTTCTGCTTAAGATCGTCTCCTGTTGATGGGCAGTCCTTAGTGATGTAGAGAGTGGTGCTGGTTTGGTGACATAATTGCCACTCACAATATGTCCTCAGTCTTGATGTTATGTATAACGTGGAAGACTGAGGACATCTTGTGGGGAGAGGAGGTACTGAGGAGGACATCCCCGGAGAGGAGCTGAGTATTGCGGGTGGGTTCTGGCTGGAGATTGCTGGGTCGTAGGTGAACATCAGACTGCTGAGCTCTATCAGATGTTTCCTCTTCATAATATTGAATATGTTCATGTGATTGGCAGAGGACGAAGACAGTCCGGGAATCCACAGAGAAGTAAGCGTGACAGTCCGTACCCAGCACCGCTCCCTCCTGACACTAGCTGCTGTCCTATCTGTGCAGGTGAGAACATGACCATCACCCCCATATGATCTTGTTGGCCATCCCATTCCAAAACCATGGCCATTATGATGAAGCTCCCCCTTCCCATGGCTATCAATATGGAGCTGGCCTCAAATAACAGCCCCCACTCTTCCGGGAAGCCTTTCCACAAGATTTTGGAGGATGTCTGTGGGAATTTGTCCTATTGGTGAGGTCAGGTACTGGTGTTGGATAAGAAGACCCGGCTCACAATCAGCATTCCAATTCATCCCAATGGTGTTCAGTAGGGTTGAGGTCAGGACTCTGAGGACACTCGAGTTCCTCCATCAAGCTGGTCACACTATGTCTTTATGGAGCTGGCTTTGTACACAGGGGACAGTCATGGTGGAACAGAAAAGGGTCTTCACCACACTGTGACCACAAGGCTGGAAGAGGACAATTGTCTACAATGTCTTTGTATGATGGAGGATTACCAGAACCTTCACTGGAGACACCTGAACTCCATCATTTGGAGGGGTTCCAATTTCACACCAAAGGTGTTCAGTAAGGTTCTGTTAAGGTAACTTGAGGTTCCCCTACACCAAAGTCATCAAACTATGTCTTTATGGAGCTGGCTTTCTACATAAGGGACAGTCATGGTGGAACAGAAAAGGGTCTTCACCAAATTGTGACCACAAGGCACAATTGTCTACAATGTCTTTGTATGATGTAGAAGAACCTTCACTGGAGACCCCTGAACTCCATCATTGGGGGGGGTCCACATACTGTTGACCATTTAGTAGATGTAGCCGCTGGTGTGACCGTGTAAAGTCTTCCACCTATCCTATCATAGTCTGAATGTCACTGATTGTGGTGGACCTCATTGTCACATGTCGGATTTATCTTCATAACAGCCCCAATGGAGATCATCTCCCCGTAAATCCAACTCATGGGGAGAACCAATACTGTCCTCTGGTCCGCTCCATACACTGCTGGGCTTCCAACAATCTTCACTGCAGATCCCAACCTGTCTGTGTAGATAATCAGATACCCCATTCCGGTGCACTCGCTCTACATGTCTACATGCTCTCCGGTGATGGCTGCACGGCATTTCTCAGGGCGGGTTTCCTTACGGTGACTACAGTGGACCATGGCTGTGCAATGAGCTGAAACAGTCCCTTGTAGCCTGAGTAAGATCCTTCATGTCCTAGCACAGCCACCCGCACGGATGTGCAGCTCGGGTGAGCGTACGGCCGCGCCCTCCCATAGGGAAGAACAAGCTGCTGTGTACAATCACACGCAGTCCTTCCCGGGAACGGCCGCGCACGCCACACGGATCTGTACGGCCCCGACTCTACGCTGTGTGCATGAGGCCTTAAATGGCATTTCAGTGGTCGGGGGGGTTTACATTCACATTAGTAGCTGGGCTTCTGATTTGGGTGACTGGCTTCTCCCCATGCTGGCGCCTTTTCTGGGTAAAGGTTCCATTGTGACATCATACACTCCCTCCCC